CTTCTTTCTTCCTCTCTGACTGTTTGCCTAAATTCCATTGGTAATATCAGATGTATTATGCACAGTTGTCATTGGTGATAGTCCTATCTATTGAGGAATAAAAAGCAAGTTTGACACTATTAAAATCAGGCCAGTATTTGTTTCTTTAGGAAATTGGGCTGTTTACAGCCACCTTTGTCTGATTCACTCATTGTTTTTTTGTTTGTTTTTTAAAATATTTTTATTAATTTCAGAGAGGAATGGAGAGGGAGAGAGAGTTAGAAACATCAATGATGAGAGAGAATCATCGACTGGCTGCCAGGATTGGCACGCCCCCTTGTAGGGGTCAAGTCCCCAACCTGGGCATGTGCCCTTGACTGGAATTGGACCCGGGACCCTTCAGTCCGCAGGCCGACGTTCTATCCACTGAGCCAGACCAGCTGGGTCAGCCTTGAGTTTTGTTGAAACTGCTTTCTTGCATGGCACTTCTGTGGTGCCTGGTCCTCGTGTCATGCCCAGCTTACTAAGAGCAGAATGTGCTGGGGGCTGGGTCACGGGTGAAGGGTGATGGGGGGGGCGGGGGCGGTACTTCCTATTCTTCCCATGAATACTGGCTTATGATTTGGGTTTTTCCTGTTAGAACAGCGGTTCTCAACCTGTGGGCTGTGACCCCTTTGGCGGTCGAACGACCCTTTCACAGGGGTTGCCTAAGACCATCCTGCATATCAGATATTTACATTATGATTCATAACAGTAGCAACATTACAGTTATGAAGGAGCAATAAAAATAATTTTATGGTTGGGTCACAACATGAGGAACTGTATTTAAAGGGCCAGAAGGTTGAGAACCACTGGGTTAGAAAATGCCGCGTTCCCCATCTGCCCCCCTGCACCAATTTCACTGCTATGGCTTCCTGTCCTACTTCCGGTATATTTGACCTCCCACATGTCAAGCCCCACTGAGTTACTTCTCTCTCACAGTTCGACGAAAGTGCTGCTGGTGGGGCGGTGGTTCTGGTTGCTCTGTATGGAAGGTTCGAAGCCAACTCCTGACACGCTTCCTCCCAAACTGCCTCCTCAGCTGCCCTAGCGATTCTAATTCTGGGCAATACTCGTGGCTTATCCTCCTCCCGCTCTCCAGTGCCGCCTGCCTCCTTTAGATACACCCCAAACTCCTCGCCACTGCCTCCAAGGGGGCCTACCTGGCCCTCACCATCCTCTCCTGCCTCCTCCCATAGCCTCGTCCCTCCCATCCGCAGGCCAGCCTTCCCCAACTCTTTCTTCCCCAAACCTCGCAGACTGCTGCCTCTCCAGGCGTTTTGGCTGTCTGTTCCCTATCTTTCTGGAAGTCTTGTCTGGCTGGTCTAAGCACTCCCGTCACCTTTTCTCTCCAATCCATACCAGTGCAGCGGCTCTCGTTCTAATGGCATAACGAATGCCGGGAGTGACTCTGCCCTGGATTGCTCTGTCTGAGCAGGGCACAGGCATCCCCCAGGCTGGTCACCGATGCTTACAGCGCTGGTACAGCTACAGGGTTCTGAACCTGTGCAGGGCCCAGCTCCCTCTACGGAGGACTTTTGTGGCCCGACTCCAACAAGAATGTTCACTGAATCCTGGCTATGAGGTGCCCGTGGGCAGAGCACAGCGTTCGGCCTGAGGCTGCCTGGCGGAGGCCGCTGTCCTCATGCACCTTTGACAGCTGGAAGCTACTGACACCGGCCACAAAGAACCCACAACCAGGCCTAACATCAGTCAAGACTAGGAGCGATGTTTCACAGAAAACAAAAGGGGGGCAAGAAAGAGGCTGGGGTTGCCGTGGGAGGAGCTTAGGACACCCATCGGCTTCTGCTTTTCCCAGGGCTGGGCTGCCACAAGGCCCACGTGGACTTTCTTTCAGATTCCACCCAACAAGCTGGGGACCCTAAAGGCGATCGTCCAGTACAAGATGCCAATGAACGAGAGCAATAAAAGCAACCTGTACTCTGTGAGTGTGGGAGGGGCCCAGCGCACAGGGAGGGGGGCCCCAGGAGGGGACGCTCAACGGAAGTGGGGGGTGAGCAGGAGAGAGGGCCAGGCTCCAGAGGGAAATGGGCGGGCCCTTGGGGGGCTTTTTAAAAAAATATATACTTTTATTGATTTCAGAGAGGAAGGGAGAGGGAGAGAGAGAGAGAAACATCAATGATGAGAGAGAATCACTGATCAGCTGCCTCCTGGACACCCCACACTGGGGATCGAGCCCACAATCCGGGCATGTGCCCCCACTGGAATAGAACCATGACCTCCTGGTTCATAGGTCAATGCTCAACCGCTGGACTATGCTGGCCAGACTGAGGGCCTTTTTAAATTTAATTTTATTTCATTTTGGGCATGAAGGGTACAACTTAAGCAAAAAGATAATTTGACGACTCATGGAACTACAACTCAGGGTGTGGATTTCAGGCATGGCTAGAACCAGGGGCTCGAATGTGGCCCAAGCTCCAATTTGCCCTCTTGGTGTCTTGACTCCATAGTCCTGAGATGGTCCAGCAGCTCCCGGGGCTACATTTTGACTCATTCTTGTCCGGAGAGCACTTCCTGCAGAAGCCCTGACTTTCACTGTGGTTGGACCATTCGAGGTCACATGCCCAGACCTGATCCAATCACTGTGGCCCACACAGACGGAACCCTCTGCCTTAAACCGATCAGCGTTGACCTCTGGAACTGGGGATGGAGTCGGCCCCACGAGCTGGTCACTGAGAAACGTGGGATGCAGAGTTGAATCGGGGAAGGCAGAGCTCCAATGATACCGAACTCCACTGCCGAGCACTTAACATATATTGACTCATGTATATGCCCAGAACAACCCGAGAAGTTGGGTTCCGGCATCATTCCCATCTTACAAATGAGGAGATTGAGGCACGGGCAGCGTAAGGGGCCTACCCAGGAGTGCAGGAACCGGCAGCAAAGAGCTGCGCATTGTAGGGCTTAGAGCAGCGTCCCGGGTCTCCACCCAGTAGCCCCTCCACAGTAGCAACAGCTGTTATAAGGGGAACCGGGACTGACGCTTCTACCTAAACTTTCCTCTGGCCAGAAATCATGCTTTAGGACAGCGGTTCTCAACCTGTGGGTCGCGACCCCTTCGGGGGTCAAACGACCCTTTCACAGGGGTCGCTTAAGACCATGGGAAAACACATATATAATTACATATTGTGTTTGTGATGAATCACTATGCTTTAATTATGTCCAATCTGCAACAATGAAAACACATCCTGCATATCAGATATTTACATGACGATTCAAAACAGTAGCAAAATGACAGTTATGAAGTAGCAACGAAAACAGTTTTATGGTTGGGGGTCACCACAACATGAGGAGCTGTATTCAAGGGTCGCGGCATGAGGAAGGTTGAGAACCGCTGCTTCAGGAGAAGCTGACGGGACAAGGTCTGACCGGGGAAGGGAAAGGCCTCCCGAGGCCCCACCCTCTGCCTGTCTTCTCTTCCCACAGTGGGACGATTTCATGGATCTTGGCAATACCGTCCCCGACCCGCAGCTGGACCACATCATTGCGAGCCAGAAGGTCAATCAGTGCGCAGTGCTCATCTACACCTCCGGGACCATGGGCAACCCCAAAGGCGTGATGCTGAGCCACGACAACGTAAGTGCCCGCCCGCCGCGTGGCCAGCTTGGGAGCAGCCAGAATCCCTTCACTCCGGGGCGGTGGCCTTCAGGATGGTTTGTCCGTGACCCGCAGGGCTGTGTTTAGGGGCCTGACACACAGCCCTTGACCGGTGGCATGTAGAGAGTCATGCGGACACTTAGGAGGGGGCAGCAACGTGCAGGGGTTGAGGTCAAGGACTTTGGAGCAGACCTAGGTCCAGACCCGACTCTGGGATCTCAGGCAAGACCTGCAGCATCTCCCAGCCTCGCTTCCTCATCTGTAAAATGGATGTGATATACTATCCCTGCCTCGTGGGTTGTTCTGAAGATGATATGAGTTAATATTTGCAAAGAGCTTAGAACCGTGTTTGATAAACACGTGAAAGAGCAGTGAATATGTCCTGTCTTTCTGAGTAAAGCAGAATTCAGGGCATTTTTTAAAAATTGATTTTTGAGAGAGAAGGAGGGATGGAGGGGGCGGGGAGAGATTATCTCCCATAACACCCCTCTGGGGATCAAACCTGAAGCCTGGGCATGTGCCCTGACCAGGAATTGAACCTGTGACCTTTGGTGTATGGAACGGAATGATGCTCAACCAACTGAGCCGCACCGGCCGGGGCAGAAATGTAGGCTTTGGTTACTCAAGAAAGGCTGTGTGTTTTGGGGAACACTTATGTATGTCTGGATGGAGTCCAAGATTGATAATTTAGATGGCTGGTATGAAACGAAGAGGAATACATGCTAAAGGATGCAATTTACACAAAACCCTGGAAAATGCAAACTTATCCTTAGGGACTAAAAGCGGATTGGTGGTTGCCTGCGGGGGGGCCAGAGGGAGGCATCACAAAGAAACAAGTGGAAAGTCGCGTGGGGGGGGGTGATGAAGACGTTCATATCTTGATGATTGGGCATGCTCCACAGGTGTAGACATGTGTCAGTTTGTGTCAGATGTACACTTTAAATGTGTGCATTGTATGTCACTTATACCTCAATAAAACTACTAGAAAAAAAGAACGCTGCACCATCACTGCCTGCCAGGCACTGTTCCAAGAGCTTTAGTAAATCCTCGCGGCAATTCTACTGATTCTATCAGGTGGAGGCTATTTTAACAGAGGAAAAACTGAAGCCCAGAGAGGTTAAGCTACTTGCCTCAGGTCACACAGCATGCAACACGGCGGAGCTAGGATTTGGCTCCACAGTCTGCATTTTTAACTACACTGTAGACCTATGTGGCTAACGTGCGAAGATGTCCAAAGATGCAATGTAAGCATGTAAAAGGTGTTTGCACAAAGTACACAGAACACAAGTGTGTTTTTTTTTTTTTGGTTAAAAACTAAAAAGGCAGCAAGCAATATGCTCCGGTGTACATTCTAAAAGCAGAAAAATGTCTGGCAGGACATGCACCCAACTGGCCACGGTGGTTCCCTCTTTGAGTCAGAAAGATTGCAAGTTTTAATTGGTTGATTGATTCATTTGTTAATCATCACTGGAGGATATTTTTTCCATTGATGTTTTTTGTTGTTTTTTTTTTTGCAAGGGGAGAGAGTGAAAGGGAGGAGGGAGGGAGAGAGAGAGAAACAGCCATGTGAGATAGACACATTGATTGGTTGCTTCCACATGCTCCCTTACCGGGGCCTGGGATTGAACCTGCAACCGAGATACAAGCTCTTGACTGGGAATTGGACCCACAACTCTTCGGTGTGCAGGCCAACACTCTAACCACTGAGCTCACTGGCCAGGGCAGATTGCTAGCTTTTAAAAAATACGTAGTTTTAGATTTTTATTGATTTCAGAGAGGAAGGAAGAGGGAGAGAGATAGAAACATCAATGTTGAGAGAGAATCATTGATCAGCTGCCTCTTGCATTCCCCACACTGGGGATAGAGCCCACAACCCCAGCATGTGCTCCCACCGGGAATTGAACCATGACCTGTTTCATAGGCTGATGCTCAACCACTGAGCCATGCTGGCCGGGCAGATTGCTTTATTTTTAAATGAAGCTTTTCTACCTTATGAGAGCTTTTTCCTCCAACCTAGCTTAATAGTTACCAGCACACACTGGCCTTTGCTGTTCCTTCTGCACATCAGAAAGCTACATGACTTGCTCCTTTACCTTCTTCTGGTCCTGCTCAAACATCACCTCCTCAGGGAAGACCTCCCTGATTTCCATGTTTAAAATAGCAAACAACAAACCATCCATTGATCCCTCATCTTCCTCTGGCTGCTGTTTTTCTTCCACTGTCGTATTATCTAGTCACTTGTTTATCCTGAACATCAGCTCCCGAGGGCAGAGGTTGTCTGTGTCTCTAGTTTCTGGCACATAGGAGGACTCATCCATTTTTGTGGAATGAACGAATGAATGGCATCTGATTAAACTCCCACCTGACCCTGGCTCCTTGTGACTTTATATCTGGTGAAATGTTTTCCTAGCATTGGGGGGACACGTATAAACCCTGGAGCGAGGCTGCCTGGGGTTGAATCCGAGCTCCCCCACGGGCTAGCTGTGTGACCTGTTCTTTAATTCCTCTTGACTTTAGTTTTCCCACCTGTAAAACACAGGCAAGAATGGTTTCTACTCTTAGAGTTGCCATGAAGATAAAATTATTCCATAATCTCTGCCAGTTAGCTCTTAGCCATTCCAGAACTTAGCGACGTAAAGCACCAAAAGTGTGTTACATCTGGGTATGGAACTTGGCAGGGCCCAGCAGGCTATTTCTTGTGCCCCAAGTAGTGTCAGCTGGGGCCACTCAGCTGTATTCAGAAAAGCAGGAAAGTCCAGGAAGGAATTCACTCACCAGTCTCTTGCGGCTTGGGCAGCCTCACGGCACGGTGGGGCTCAAGGTGGTTGAACTGCTTACCATGGTGACGGGCTCTCCTCAGAGCAAATATTCCCTAGGCTTATACCAAGGCAGGAGCTGCAGTCCATGGCAGCTCAGCACCAGAAGTTACAGTGTCGTTCTGCTCCATTCTGTTGGCCAACCAGTCAATGGACCAGTCCTGGGGAAGGAGAGGAAAACAGACTTCAGCTTTGAAGGGGAGGGCGGCAGGGAGTTGGCTGCTGCCTTTAACTTACCACATAAATAAGGTACTTAGAACAATGCCTGGCACACAGTGAGCCATGTCAGTCCTAGCCGTTGTTATCTTCAAGATCATCATCAGAATGGCTAGCATAAAAATACCAGCCAACTAGTGCTGGCGAGGATGTGAAGAAAAGGGAAACCTTGTGCACTGCTGTGGGATTGTAAATTGGTGCAGTCACTATGGAATATAGTATGGATGTTCCTCAAAAAATAAAAATAGAACTACCAGCCCTGGCCAGCTGGTTCAGTAGGTTGGAGCATCGCCCCATATACCAAAAAAGGTTGCGGGTTTGATTCCCAGTCAGGGCATGTACCTAGGTTGCGGGTTTGATCCCTGTTGGGGCTTGTATGGGAGGCAGCCGATCGATGTTTCTCTCTCACATGGATATTTCTCTCTCTCTCCTTCCTCTCTCTCTAAAAAAATCAATAAACCCATCCTCAGGTGAGGTTTTTAAAAAATAGAACTGTAATCTGACCCAGCAATCCCACTTCTGGGTATTTATCCAAAGAATCCAAAACACTTAATTTAAAAAGACAGACGCACCCCTATGTTCTTGCAGCATTATTTACAACTAGAGGCCTCTTGCACAAAAATTTGTGCACTTGGGGGTTGGGGGGGAAGGTCCCTCAGCCTGGCCTGTGCCCTCTCGTAGTCTGGGACCCCTTGGGGGATGTCCACCTGCTGGCTTAGGCCCGCTTCCAGGGGATTGGGCCTAAGATGGCAATCAGACATCCCTCTGGCAGCCCGGCAGCCCTCAGGGCATGTCCACTTGTCAGCGAGGAGTAGCCCTAAGCTGCAGACATCCTTACCACGGCTGAGGAGGCAGGAGAGGCTCCCACCACCACTGCTGTACTGACAGCCCTCAGCCTGGAT